ATGTAAGAGTTTGGCTTTTTTTTTCTTTAAATTACAACATTACAAATGTACACTGTGTGGCATATTGGGCCATGACGAGACAATCCAAGCTGAACTAAGTGTTGTAGTATTAGACTGTTAGTGTAGCAAAGCTCTGAGCTTATTGGTTTCTTCTGAGATATCCACTTGCTTGCAGATTAAGTTTTCACAAAACACCATAACATCCTAATTCTTTCACACCATCAAAAATTAGACTCTGAAAGTGCTTTCAAGTTGCAAAATTTTCTTTTTATGCATCAGAAAAGCCATGTCATTGTCACCACAGGCTCTCAAAGAATACTTAACGTGGAAGTGACTCAGAGCACAGCATAAGGCAATTATATACATTTATGTAGAAACATCATGCAGTACGGGCTTATGGCAACACATGGAGCCAGATTCTTGGAACTATTTGTAGAGCAAGTATGATAAAGTACTCAATGTGAGTACAGCAGTAGAGTCTGTTCCAGTATGTTACCATTATTTCAAGCTGCAAGTATCATAAAATATTCGTTGTGAGATGTTTCATGGCAGCACGCTGGATAAAATTCTGTCATAATTTTGCATCAGATATAGTCTTCCTTGTGGAAGTACTCCCAAACTCATTTCAGTGTGATCTTCTAGGCCCACGTGTCACTGTTTTTCTGCACAAAGAAGCAGCATAAAAGTAGGCAGCATCAGGCTGTGCGCTGCCATGACCACACCATTTCTTTTTTCTCAAGTAGTTTTGGTACCTTGGTACCACTTCAATTTGCAGTGAGGAATCTTGTTAGATGGTAACCTGCGAGATGGATGTGATGCTTTAAGCTGAGCACAAAGAAGACATGGCTTCAGGGTGTCAGTGTTACCGACGTTGCATTAACAAACATTGAATTTAATGCAATGGTGAAGGTGAAACTTCTGCCTTAGGATGTCAGTGATTTAGACCTTTGGATTTCCTTAAGAAAAATGTGTTTGCATATAAAGAGTTAGCAGAAAGCAATCCAATCAAAGCAAACCTTTATTGATTTCAGATCTTGGAAGTTCAGTACCTCAGAACCTAAATGAAATGCAATTTTAATTATGAGCTCCATGTATTTTAATAATTGTGCCCCTTAAGTAAGACACAAAAAATTACTTCAGGATTCTACCTAAGTGAATTTGATATACTGGTTGGCTTGACTTAAGATACTAGAAATGGAACCTAAATAGTTTTGATCAAGGTGGTTGTGTGTGGAGTTTGCTTTCCTGCACAATTCACTTGTGCCCTGACCATTTAGTCTGTGTCTGATGCTGGCAGAAATCTTACAACATAGATTTTTGCATTGAGTTCAACAAGTGCAGCTGAATATTCATTGTTATTTTAAAAACCAGCTGCCTGTATAGCTACCTACATTTGAATTAAAAGCTCGAATTTAGAAGTCAGTTAACAATTAGCTAAAGCTGGTAGTCTTTTATAGCTAATCTGTCTGTCAACTATAATAGTACAGCTTTCTATAATAGACTGATTTTTAATATACTACTATAAGTCAAAGTAAATGTGGGAACATAGAAGGAAGGTGACTAGAAAGGACTGCTTAAAATGCTTAACTAAGAAGGGAACTATTCAAAAGGTTCATACTCAAATTCTGTCACTCAAGCTAGCAATCAGATAAACTTACACCCTTATTTATTTACTCTGCTTATTTTGGCTAATTAGCCAAACCTGAGTGGTCTCAGAGTTTAAAACTGGAGTAAAAGTCTCTGAAAATTATGCCTATTTAGATGAACCTACATTATACTATGTGGCACGATAAAATCATATTGAGGCTAGATATAATGAAGTTGAAAATACTAAAAAATGATAGAAGACCAGAAGGTTTTCTGAAGAGAACCTGATAGGATTGGAAATAAATTTTCAGATATTTACAAGATAGCAGCTGTAACCTTGATGGTTATGCCCAAAGCATGAAGATTAAGACTTTGTAGCCTTAGGATATTGTTTTAAGAATGCTATGTTCATTGTAAAAACAATGGTTTTACAGGGAGCTAATTGATTTGGGATCGTTACTGCAGTGTAGAATCTTATTATGGTCAAGACAATTAACATTTTACCACCATGTTGCCAGTGAAAGCCATAGCTCACAAACCACCAGTATACAAGGTATAATCACAAGTCAATTGGGCCTCCCAATGTAAAATCCAGAACAGCCATTCCTGTGAAAACACACTCCTTTTTTAAATTTTATTACCTGTTTTTAATGAAAGACAGGGAAAAATCTTCCCAAAATTTGACTTGACAATCTAACGAAAGACACCATTTTGAAGTACTGTTCTCAAACCTGTCTGTTCTCCCAGTCTCATTCCCCATTGCCTGGTAAATATAAGCCGGAAGTGTATTTCCCATTTTTTAAAAAGCTTGTGCAATTTCAGAATTGTCCTTTTTAAGCACTGTGATGAAATCCAGACCTTTCGGTCTTTCCTGTCCTCATCCGTTCTGCAGTCAGACCAGATTGATACCATTCAGTGTTTCTTCCCAGTTCCAAAAAAGAACAAGCGGACAGGAAAGGGAGAGAGGGAGAACCTGTTCCTTCCCGTAATGTCTTGTTCATTTGATCGCTCACTGGAGATACCCAGTGCAGTTCTCTGCTCTTTTGTTTCTGAATCCCATGGTTTTTTAAGGACAGCCTGGTGAATGTGCATCAGCAGAGGCAGGGAGGAATCCACACAGCAGTCCACTAAGTCCCTCAGCTGCTGACTGGAGCATCCCTTTTCTGCAGCTTGAAGTGGAGTGCGAATCCGGGAACTGGCACCCTGGGAGAGAGTGGTCTTGCCCTGTGATTAAGTTCAACTTCTAGATTTATGTTTTAATGAGAAATTCCTCTGTAGGTCCAAGGAAACTTCTGATCAAAACATTTTCAAAGTTTGATCAGTCCTAAAACTGATTTTTCTTTTTGACAAATATGGTTTTCTGTGATGAAAAAATGTTTTGAAAAAATTCCCAGCTAACTCCATTAATTCATTCCCTAAAGGAAAAAAATAGCATTCTTCCCAGAATTGTTGCAAAATATTTTTGTTTATATTTGTTTCAAAACTGAGTTGACTAAGAGGTTGTAATTTAAATCTGTTTAAAAACAGATACAAGGGAAACAAATCACAAATCAAAATTTTACTGGTTTAGCCCTTCTGGAACTATTTCAAATTGATTTTGCTAAGCAAGCAAACTGTTTTTGTGTGGGAAATTGGCTAGCTGAGAAGGGTAACATAGATATGATCCAGCTGGCCGAGCAGGAGCTTGGGAAACATCGGACCCAGTTCCTGTGATTGCTAATTGGCAAGGGCACCCTGACCCTGACTGCAGGTGCTAGACAGTGATGAGAAGCCTGGGATTACTCAGGCATGGGAAAAGAGGGAGTAGTTGCATGGGAGAAGAAGAGGTAGCTAGCCACAGATAAGGAGCTAAGGGCTGGAGTGATGAACCAATCAGAATGCTGTGTTGTTGGAACACATATAACTAATTATAGCAGAGTATATATGAAACATGTAGTAGCCAATTATAGTAGAGTAAACATGGAATATGTTTTAGCCCATTATAAAAGACAGCTGTGCTATTCAATAAACGAAGCTTGCTGATTGCTCATATTGAGTGTCCATGTCTTCCCCCGTCGCAACATTTTTGGGGAAAAATAATTCTTTAAATGGGAAGGAATTTCATAGCTAAATTAATGTATTTTCATGAAATATGGAGTCTAAGACTAATTGTGGATTAATTTCCCTTGCATTTGTTAATTATTTTTAAGTGCTTGTAATATGACAGTTTAAGCTCAAGTACAGAAGACATTACAATCTATAATATTTCCATTCTTGGCTTATCTGAACAGGGAGAATTTGTCTCCTGTTTGTTGTCACTCTTGCGACAAATGACTGATAGACATTATCAACAGCTTCTTGATAGCTTCAACACAAAGGAGGATCTTAGGGTAAGTAACAGAATTGTCTTTCCACTTGTTCAGGTCTCTTTTTATTTCTCTTTTTGATTTATCTCCCTTTAAGATATTGCTGTGCTTTGATGAAACACTGAAGTATTTAAATGCAATCTGTTTTTCAGATTAGCTAGCTTTTGCACAGGCTTTCATGCATGCTCAGGTCCACTCTTACGGCGGGGCTAGGGTTCTGTTGCTTCTACAATGACAGCAGATAGAATAGAGAGGCAAGGGACTATATAATAGCTTTAGAGCCATAAACTTAGCCTCCAAGCCTGTTTTAAAGATGGTGTCAATCTAAGGTTACACAGTTCTGCTTGGTTCTTCCTGTCAGGCAGTAGGATTTTTGTTTGGTTTTTTAATATTTTTTAATTGATTCATTGATTAAACTATATATGGCAATGACAAACACTCAGTTTGAGAAATGCATATTCAACTAACTCTCCGTTTTTCTTAACTGTGCAGCAAGTCCTTTGGCAGGAGGACTTGTCAGACTTCTAATGTCTGTCTGCCCAGTTTGATCATGGAAGAGAGCAGCTGCAGAGGTCTTTCAGGGCAGTTTCTACCAATTTCACTGATGGAGTTACCAGGTTCATGGGGATACAGCATTTTGAATTCCTTTTTGGAGGAGGGGGGTGGATTTATAAAGAAGTTATGATTTCCTGCATAGAGATATACATGAAGACTTCCATTCCGCTAGCCCTTGACAAACTTACATAATAGCAAAATTGATCCATGCGGAAAATTTTGAGTAATCACTTATGCCTGTAATTCCGCCAGTGATCCTAGATAGGAGAGTAATCATGTCCTAGTGTGAAAGGATGTTTTTAGATGTTACTCTTAAATTATCATTTTATAAACTTAAGTACTGCCCTGAAAAGGAGTGTCTAGTCATGGTGCTATTTCAGATTTCCTTAAATACCTGATATCTGTTTAGGGCTGTTCCGAAGATACCATGCCATCCATGAGTGCTTTTCTTTGTAGTGGGATGGTCATATTGAGTTTGAAAGATAGAACACGCTAAGAAGTTCTCTCTATCATGAATCAAGAGTGATACCTAGGAGTTATATAGGGTGGACAATTTTTATACTAGAGTTACAGCATGTGTTTTCACCCAGCATAGTTGCTATCCTTTGGCAATTTTTAGTATATGTTGTGGAACATAGGCATTTTTTACTGAAAATATTTTCCCTTTTGTTTGTTCTGAGCAGGTCTGTATTCCTAGATTTAGATTTTTATATTTCCTAGAGGTTTCAAACTTGATTTCTGTTTGATGTATCTATGAAATACTGTTGAGTTTATTCAGACTTTCTCGCTTCTAGAAGATGAAAAATCTCTGGAATTAATCTTTGAATGGTGTTTGATTTGACACATTTATATTCCCCCCACGCACATACCCTACTATTATACAGAGACATATGGAAAGCAGCTGTAGCCAGTGCCATCAGCTATCAAAATAGAGGTCTTAAGAACTCAAGTCCAGAGTTTGTTATTTCCATTCAGATCTCATCAAATCAGCATAAGCTCCATCAGTGATTCAGTTGCAGTAGGTTGATCATAATTAATGCAGCACTCCTTCTCTTCTGAATCTTAAATAATATAAGATATTGTTTTTTTCCCCTCACTTGGAAATATCAAATGTCACTAAAATATGTATAACTGAGAGCAAGAGAGGAAGATGAGAGCCAGTGTGTAAGGCTGACACTGCTGTTAATCATGAGGTGATTGTGTATGACTTTGGCTATCTAAACCCTCTTGCCACTTACCTCTGTATTTTTCTATTTTGTTTGCCAAGCGTGGAACTTCCTTGATATTTTATACTGCTTTAAGATATGCTTCTTAGGAAATGACATCAGTATGAGTAAATGAAAATTCAGAAGGTGTAAATACGTGTGATAAGACTTTTTTTAGTGTGAGGTGCTTTGCGAGGTTGAACTAGTAGCCATAGTTAATCTTGTGGCTCGTATGTACTTTGGGATTTAAGCTTCAGTGGTAACTAGCATCAGCTTGCTGTATTTTTTTAATCCCCTTTTTGCCCCCTGGTCAGTGATGTCAAAGTGGATTTGGTCTTTCTTAAGCCACATTACAAGTTACAAATCTGATACAGGGTTTCCAGGGACTTATCTGAGTGTAATCCAGCCTTTGAATTGCTATCTGCTGTGATTTTGCTTTGCCTACCTCTGTTTATAATTAACCATCTATACTGAATGATTAGGCACTGATATCACAAGGTATTTCTTCTTTATTCCGGACTAATTCTTAAGGCGACTCTGTCATGTGCTTGCATGACTGCAAGTTTGCACAGCATTTGTGATACTATTAAAAAACACCCCCACCAAACCGGTTCTCCAAACAAAAATTCACTCATGCAAATACTTGTAAAAAGGAAGCGAAGGTTGTCATTCATTCTATCAAAATATACTTGCAGTTCTTACTCTTTTTTTTTTTCCTTTTTTAACAGTCTATACCAAAATTATTAAAGGCTGTTTCCAGCTTGTTAATTACAGTATAGAAAAATGGAGACTTTGAGGGAATGACATTACACATTTTTATATGACATGCATCTGAGTGATGCTTTAAAGAAGTGGTTGTTTATGGAAATATTTCCTCTGTTTTGTAAATATATTTAGTTTAAGTAATTGACATAGTGACTCTTTTTATTTTAGTCAGTTCTTTAAGACAGTCAGATTTTTTCCATACAAATCAGAAGATAGAAAAAGCATTTTATATTTGAAAACATGCAAATGAAATAAGAAAGAAATGACAGGGGGTTCATGGCTGAGTGGTAGCACCAGAGACTATACTTCACTCACTTTTTGAAACATTGAATTTAATGAGGCAATAATTTTAAATGCTTCCTTTTATCTTTCAATATTATTTTAAAGATATGCTCCTTTTGCTTACCACAAAATGCCATCTTCTTCAAGTAAATATATTTTATAGCAATTTGTGGAACAGAGGCGCCCTTGTAGGCGGATATTTGCTACCACAAAAAAGGTATAGTTTATGGCAAAAGGTAACAGTGGAAGTTATAAATAGGAAAAGTGGGAAAGTGAATGAGAAAAACAGTGTATGTTAGCACAATGGAGCTTTGACCACAGCAAGGTGATTTTGGTTTATATGTGTGGGGTTTTTAATTAGTAGATTAAAAGAAGACAAAACAAACAGATAAGCATCTGCCAGAAGGCCTAGTTTTTATCCATTGGCAGTGTACCCAACATAATGGGGCAGAATAGATATACAGGAGAGATCCTATGGAGAAAAAGATAGTATTTCATTGTGATGGGTCTAAACCTTACTAGTTCTCTGATCCCTCTCTTCCAGCTAAAGGAGCCTGAGCAGGGTAAGATGGGTGCTGAACCCTACCACCGAGTACAATTTATTCCACTGCTCTCTTCTCTAATGAGCCCTGGGACACAGTCTGTGCGAGGTCTGTAGGTATGAGGAATGTCTCTGGTGAAGAAGCTCAGTTCTAGCCACCATCCTTCCCCTGTTATGCCAGGACATCTGCTCACGTATGGGACTTCTGAAAGGATGAGTGCTGGGGCAGAGGGATTGCTCTAAACCAAATATTTGGGTGGCTTCTGATGTAGATTTAGGAAGCAGTGAAGGAAATAAGATCTGGGAAAGGAGTTGGCCACAGGATGGATGAGTTATCTGGGGAGAGACAACTCACTGTCAAACCATCCTCTGTCTTGTGGACACCTTGGCATGCTGCAAAAAAAGCTCTAGGATGCTCTACAAAGACCTGATAACAAACAGCTTGATAACTCTGCAGTGTGAGCCAAAGCAATGGGTGATCAAGCAATTAGTTTTAAAGTAGACTGTTGACCCAAACTTAAAAGTTCATATAGATGCACCCTGGGAGATCCAGTGAAGAGTCTGACCTGCTTTACAGAGGATTTTACATGCATACAGGGAAATGTGAAAGAAATTCCAGGGCAGTTTTTTATTAAATTAATAGATGGTTTTCAGTCTTGTAGAAGGCCATGCTTCTCACTCGATCACAGTTTGATAATTTCATGAAGCGAATATTGCTGCTAGCGGAAACTGAACTGTGATATTGTGATATTATTTAGGTGGTGTAAGATAGTACTAGAGCTTATGTACCCTAGGTAGGAATATTGAGACGGTATTTAGAGTATGTAAAGGAACAAAATTACTCTCTTGCTGTCTGTTTAGATAGAAGGCATATGAGACATTAATTATATCTGTACTCAACCAACCAAATGTTGGTTCACTTTTACTGCCGGGAAAAATGTTTTTTAAATGTTAAAATCTGTTACTAAATCATTATGATGTGTTCAGCAGAGCAGATACAACTATGAAAGATAATAGTTTAGTGCAAGGGAAACAGTTCAATATCTAGTTACAGAATTGATCTTCCATGAACAGTACTTCATAGTAATGCCTTGTGACGTTTGAACCGTGAAACAAAACTGAGTAATTGCATCATGCAAAATGCCAGGCATTGTAATGCTGATCCAAACATTTTACGGAATTGCTACATGGAGGTGGGTCCCTTGGGAGTGAGCACCAGCATTGAATATTGATGAGCAGTACTAACACATGAAGGATCCCAGCACATCGACGGCAAAGTCAGCTGCATTTTACCCTTTGGTTATTTTCATGCTTATAGTGAATTCCTAGGAAAATATATTACCAAATATAGAAAAACTGAATCATGAAAAATAAAAGTTCAATACTGTTGATAGAAGCTTAATAGTCATCTCTTGAAAATCTTACAACTGAGTAGTTTTTCTGAAGTTTTTTATGAGTTATCTGTTTCTTTCAGTTGTATTTCAGCTTTGAATTATATTGCATTTTGTATACAGGTTTTTAACATGTACCATAACAAAGAGGTTTTCAGTCTTACTCAGGTTTTTCAAATCCACATTTTGTATCTAAGATGGCTTATCACTAAACTGATTATACAATTTTCTATTTTTTTCTGTTAAAATTGGAAATAATTAATCTGGTGTTAATGATTCAAAATTCAATGCCAGTGTCTACATTTGCTTTGTTTTAAAGCTTGCTTGGAATAAAAGATTTATTCTGTTTTTAGCCTAGTTACCTAAAGAAATGAAGTGTATATGATCTTCCTCTCTGTCTGTCATTCTTTTCTAAATGACTTTTGAAGAAGCTGATGAATTTCAGCAGGTTTTGGCAGTGGCCCGTGGGCCTCAAAGGCACTAAGTTTACACCTCACGCAGCCCTTGGGTTTTAACTCCTTAAACCATTGCTGGGTTTCCCAATAGCAGCCATTTGGTCTCTTCAGTTCAGTAGGCAGTCAGCTAGTTCCTGAACAGCAGCAACATGCATTGTGCCTGGACAACAGATGGGATGAAAATGGGACATGGGAAAATATGGGACGTTATCGTGAAGTGACATACAGCAGCATTCGAGTCATTGTTGTATTGTTGGGATTACAGCACAGAGAAGGGAGGTAACCCCTAAAGAAAAAAAGGAACTGGCAGGAATGTTCAAATTTAACTAACTACAAGGTACAAAGCTATAGGAAAGCAGTCTGGAATAAATGCGTTGCTCGTAGAGTTACTTGTTTATCTGTAAAGCTGGTCACCTGCATTCAAACACTATGTTATCTGCAATGAGTATCATTTATACTCTTTAATACAGAGACTTTTTTGGCATCTTGCTCAGAAAACAGGTTGTCTCTTTTATGTAATCTTCTCTGGTGGGTGGGTGCAGGGATCTCAGCTGCCTTTCCCAGCGCCTGCATTCGTCCCCCTTTACAGTGATTCTCTAATGAAAGACATCTGTTGTGCAATGCCCGTCATCTACACTTTGGTAAATGCACTTGAGAATATATTTTGGTGCTCAAAATTATTTGGTATCCGTTGGTTGCATCTTCATCTCATCTGTGTTTCAGGCTAACTCTTTGCCAGTGGTGTGGGCAGAATCAATACAAAACATTTCAAGGTCAGGTACCGCACTGATTCTGTTAGGTGTGGTTATATCACTTGCCTCATGCTCTTCATGATGTCAAAAGCTCCATTTTTCTTACTAAAAAAATACCAGCAGTACTATGCACAATCAACACGGACCGCTAGAAATATTACCCTTGTTGGTAGTTTTATTTGTGAAAAGAAAATCTGAAAACCCCTGTGCTGAGAGGAAGTTTAATTTAGTTATTTATTAGAGAGTTAAATGACATGGGAGATGATAATGCTTAAAACTCTTAAGCAGTGCTTTCTACATTCAAAGTAGCTCACATGTGTTCTCTATTTCTATAGATTCAGCAAATGAGGCAGAAGGGTTAAGTGACCTGCATACAGCCAGGCACCATAGCAGTGCAGGGGCCTGGGCATCCCTATTGAATTCACTGGGCTTTGCAAACCCAATGATAAAATTGTCCTTACGCTCTCTCTCTTTCCCACCAAATAATGCCACTTTTAGAATAAATCTTGAAAGTGATGAAAACCTGGCATGATTAAGGAGATATTCAGAACTCTGGTGTTTGTAAAGTGCTTTTTTGATTTGCAGATTGTTCTCGGGATCACATTTGTGGAAGTGTATGGGTGGAAACCAAATGTATCTTTGACATTTCTCTTATGCACTGCTGTCAATCAAATGACACATTAAATTATTTTCCTCCTTTTAAGAAAAATGAATTAAATCACTATTTGAAGCTTTCTTGGGGAATCAAAAAAATGAAAAAAAAATCAGAGGTGTATCTATGTTGAAAATAAATGCATTTCTGCTATTTCTATAGTGATTTTTTGTCTCTGATTAAAGTATTTTTAAAGATCACTGCTCTTTTTAAAGTAGCAAAGACATATGACTGCTTCTTTTTCTTCCAAAGGATTTCCTGCTGCAGATTTTCACTGTATTTCGGATACTAATACGACCAGAGATGTTTCCGAAAGACTGGACAGTGATGCGTTTGGTTGCAAACAAGTAAGGCATTTTTAATCTTAATAAAAAATACCGGTAGTATGCAAAGATCATGGTACAAATAAATAAAGTTGTATGTAACAAAAATGCAAAATATCTGTTATAATGCTGGCTGCATTTTTTCATTTTTGAATTTAAGATTTAAAATCTTGATTTATTTTACACAACATTCATAATATAATTTGTACCTCTTTCTCTTCTGAATTACAGTAAGCACATATAACTGGAAACTCAGAAACACTTTTACAGAATGAAGATGCTAAGCATCAGCAGCTTTGTTTTCCAAGTAGCAAATGATAAGTCCCAGCAGAACTTCATTTCAAATCTGTTTGTTGAAATGCTGAGTTGGTAAAGATCTGTTTGCTCTCAAGAAGAAATTATCTGCTATAATATCATTAACGATGTTTTTGCATGTTTTTTAATTTAGTTCTTGTCAGAAAAATCACAAATTAAAAATCACAAATCAGGAAATGAGGTACAGCACAGGCAACAGTAACGTAGGGCTCTAAGCATTATTTTGAGCTGTAACCTGCCTTTGAGCTATTCTTTCTCTGCCAGGACTTATTTTTAGAGAAACAGGTTCCCAGCGTTTCTGAGAAGTCATTACTACAGATCTAAAAGTATTGAAATGTATTTCACCTATACCAGCAGTATACTTTTTTGTAGGCTTAGCTTTTGATCAGATAAGCCAGCTGACCAGTCAACACAATTATACAAACACCAATGTCAGCAGAGGTGCGGGGGGTGTTGGGCAGACCTAGGAATCCAGAATTTAGGATTGACTTCAACTTTCATGGTACGTATTACAATGCCTGATGGAAATTGGTTTTTAGTCTGCGTTGTGCCTGCCAGCTCCCGGGGAGAATTTAAATTCATTGTGCTGTACAGACTGCTAGTAACAATATTATTGTTACAATTAAATGTGTCACAACTTCACAACTTGTGTTCATGATATGTAGTTGGGGGGGTGTGTATGTGTATATGCAAGCATCTTATTATTTGTTCAAACTTTGTCATGACTTGAACAAAATAACATTTTTTTTGCTCATTTTTATTACCTCATTTAGTGTTAGCAATTTTGCCAAGTTTGAATTACAGCAAAAAAAATTGTTAATAATCAAAGAATAGATATTATGATTTGTTTCTCTGTATGATATTAAAGAAAATACGGCTGATACCAGCCTGCATCTGGTAAACATCCTTAAGAAATAAATTAAGAAACACAGGAAAGACGGAAAAAGACAGAGGAACTTTTAGACTACATATATAATCTAAGAAATTGTTATATATTCCAGAAACAGCTGGCTCGGCAGATGGCTTTGCAACAGCTGATATGTACAAAACTAAGATTTAGGAACGACCTTGGCACGTGCTTCTCAGGCTGGTGGTGTTCAGATATGCTAAAGATGATGATACTAAATTCTGCAAAAGGAATATTTACTTGTTCCAGTATTTTAGTTAGCATCACACATCTCCTTTTATTAATCTATGTCATGTTGTTTCTGACCTTCTAGGAGGTGATTCTATGTGCAATTCTGTCAGGCAAAGAAGATAGGCAGAAGTTGACAATAACTGCTGGTGGGAATTGGCCATGAGAAGCCAATCAGATCGGCTAACTGAACCTGATAACACGCAATTGCATAAGCATTACTGCCGGCAAATGAGATGTAAACACATCTTTACCAATTCAGCATTCAATAATTGCTTTGCGAGGCATTCCTTGCTTTGTGGAGGAAATGCTGGTTTGCTGTGAAACAGGGGGTTGGCCAGGTGTACTTAAAAGCGTGGTGTGAACTGAAGACTCATCGTTCCTGTGCTATATATCTATGGCTTAGTTTCTCTTCCTTTTTGAGGCAACAGAAACACTTCTATTCTCTCCTCAGCTGCAGAGCATTGGTTTTCTGGAGACGTTTCTGAACGGGAGCTCCTTCCTTTCACTTGTGTCCCCCCTGCCATTGTAGTGGCTGCCTACCTTCAGTTTCTCCGGGGTGTTCAAAAGCACAGAGCTTTGCTAGAATCATCCCAACCCAAAATCTTTAAGTGCAAAGGGAAGAACCTAGAGGCAGGTTGAGAAATTAGGGCAGTGCCTGCACCACAGACAGAAGTGGCTGTGAGCCCTTCTCCCTGAGCTTCACTTGATGAGCCCTAGTGCTTCCAATGGCCTGAGACTCTTCAGGATTGAAGGCGAAACTTCTTGAACTCCTTGCTTCTCCGGTCATGTCTAAAAGGAAAAACTAGAAGGTCTAGCCCATCTTTTTAAGAGCATAATCAAGTAATCCATTAACAGTCTGGATTTTTTCTAACTCCTGCTTCCCAGGAATAAAATGACTGTCATGTTTGCTGTGTCAGATGGCCGCCTGCTCGGCTGTCTGGGCTTCAGCCCGAGAAATGGTACCTAATCTGAAGGCAGCGTGTGTCTTGGGAGCTTCACCCATCACTGAAGGCACATCACCAGCAGCACTGTCTTTTCTCTCCTCTGTCCCTAGAGTGATATAAAAATTCAAACTGACTAGTATTTACAGGAAGAGAGATTTAGCCTGTCTGAGCCTAGGAAGAAATGAGTCCTAGCAAGGATGTTATCAGGTAACAAGCTTTTCCTGAGGGGAAAAAAAAATATCATTTTTTAATCTTATTTATATATGCAGAATTTCAATTACCTGAAAGATTTTTAGGTCTTAAAATGCCATAATTATTTCAATATCTAATATTTATATTAAAAAAATATTGCTGCCCCCTGGCTTCTAGATTCTTTTCTTTCTTGTTGCAGTGTTTTCAGTAATTATGTAGTATCTGATACTTGGATGCTGTCTGGGATCAAAATAACCCAGAAGATACTGTGACCTCAAGAAGACAAATCTGTAACTGTCCAGAAACTAAGACAGTTCATGATAATGCATGCACAATCTCTAATTCTAAATGTCTAGATGCCCAACAGGAAAAAATATTAATGGCTAGCATTACAAAACTACTGAGTGACTTCCAAAATTTGGGAAATAAAGTAACATTTAAAATGGCAGACTTAGCACTAAACCAGAGAATTAGATCTTTTTTGAATTGTGTTCTGTGATGGAAGGAGAAGAACATGCAAAAAAATCCTTAATGTTTATTAGCTTCTAGCAGTCGAGCAGTGAGACAGAAATTAACTCTGTTTAAAACTGCATAACCATGTAATGTCTGTAGTGAGCTAATGAGCATACATTCAGCAAAGCAAAATAATTACTTATGGTTATCTAATATTTCTAACATGGAGTTACTACTGAGTGACAAAATATGGGTTTATATTTACTATGGAAAATATAGTTTTAATTTCTTGCATTATAGGGATAGACTTACTTTCTACATCAACCAGGTAGTAAGCTGGTTTGTTGGCCCTCTAAGCAAAGCTTCTATTTGTAACCGCAAATGAACACCACACAATATAGGAAGATGTCTAAATCAGTTGCCTAGCGCCAGAGAGGAGTCCAAAATTCTATAATAGAATATGCCAGACTAAAATTGAAGTTTCTGGATAACATCTTCATAATGTCTCTCTCAACTGGAAATCACGGTGTAATGGTCACTTGCTTAAGTTACCCTAAAGTTAGGAAAAGAATCACTTATCTAGTGCTTTAATTGACTGGTATCTTTTGAGAGCATTTGACAGACTCGGCTGAACTCCAGGTATGTCATGTTTCATTAACAATTGAGGAGGCTGTTGGAGAGCAAAGTGAGTTTCTATTACTTGCTGAGCAAAGGTTTGATATTTATAACATTCTGTGCCTATGTATTATTGAACAATGAACTAATTCTCCACCGCTCTCGGAGTGCAAGAACCTTTGATATTAAAGATCAATGTATGATTAACTATGTATATCCTTTCAGCATTTTGTTGAATGGTAGAGATACTAGATAATACAATTCCCAATCTGAATTTTATAAGCATAAAAAAAAGATGTATTAATATTATTATTTATAGTAAAATAATTGATCTGTAAAGTAAGATTTACTATAGGGTGTTGCTTATACTAAAAATCCAAATTTATGTACTGAGACTTGGGCATAGGGACTTTAAACAGAGAATCCTTTTGGTTATCTAATTGAGTAATGACTGAAACATATTATTATTATTATTTTAAAAGTAACTTGAATACACGGTAACAGAAGACATCGAATTAGCATTAGTTTCATCATTATGGCTGCTTTAAAGAATCCTATTAGCTCCCATAGTGTGGGAGTCTGAGACTCCTACAATGAACAAAAATTCTTGCTTTTATGTAATACGAAGTGTTGCTAACAACGTTCTTGCTTTTATGTAATACAGAATGTTGCTAACAACGGAACCTGACATTGTCTGTCACAAAAAGCATACATATACATAGGTATGCACGTATGAATAAGTTTATGTACATATAAACACATATATGTGACTCTAGGTTTATTTCATTTATTTATGAAATATGAAAGAAACTTCTGTTCCAACACCTGTGTGCTCGGGAAGATTTCATTCTGAAATATCAAAGGATGAAATGAGAAGCTAATGTTGTAGATTTGTCCCATATCAAAATGGAAAAAGAAAGGTTTCATTTTCTACCATTGCCTGCCTGGGCAAAAGACAGGTTGCCAGAGCACAGTCCAGGCAGCAAAACAGTTGTTGAATTTCTGGGGGCTGCTTTGGATTTTTCAAACAGCATATTGCAGAAGGGTTTGCTGTGAAAGTCTGACAGAAAAGCCACTCTGTCAAAAATGCCCTGCATGAACCTTGGGTTAGCATTTTGGGTATGAACCCAGAATAATTTAGTAGCTAAAAGCAGAGTTTTTTCTCCTGCAAAACAGTGGTTCTGAATAAATTTGTGGCAGGTGGTAAGAGGAAGAAAAGCAAGTCTTGTCACAAACGTAATGTTTTCTAGTGTGATACTCAAATGGATTTTAAATAAACGTTGTTGTTGTTGTTTTGAAATCGTTGGCTGGGAAGCAACTTGGAATGTGAATATTGTATGGGATCAGGCAGCTGTCCATCTGTCCTCTGGCTGCTGTCTCTGCTTTCGGCAGTTTTGCTTTTTTTAATGGAACCTACATTATAAAGAGAACCCCCAATATTTTCTGTCCTACCTGATCTTAGTTTCTCTTGTGCATTCAGCATAACAGTGTGTGGGTCAAAAACAATGGCTTCATCTTTCTGAGCTCAGTTTTGAAGTTTTTTTATCTACAATGCATACACACTCTCACTCTACAGACCCACATTTTATGAACTAATCCGTATCATATCTCTGGTTTACCAAATAAATCAAAACAGAGCTATGTTGCCTATAGCAAGAAATACTTGCATTGCAGTTATTGTGTTAGCTCCGGAAAATTCTGCAAAAATCTTCTAAAAATTGCATTTAAGATTTCTAGTCTATTTTTTTTCTCATAAGAATTGAAGCAGCTCTTTCTCTTCAGTTTCACCTGCCATGCAAGGAACATGGCAAGAAAGGAATTGTCTCAGACATAAATAGAATTATGTAATGTAAACTTGGCAGTATAGTTGCAGTTCTTGAGAACTTCTGGAATTTTCTCTGGCATACAATTTTTCAGGGTTTTATTACTTTGGACTTAGGTTGAAATTTTACATAGCAATAGTTCTGATGAACTGACCTTTTCCGTCAGAACATCTTCCTGAAATATGCAAACTATTTACATTGTGTGGAACATATGGGCTGTAAATTAAATCATGCACGATGACAAGAATGACAGGACTCTCTTTTCTTATCCATGCCTTGATTCTTAGCATTACTTATATTACAATTAGTTAACGTTTCACTTTGTCTTCCATGCTGCAACAGGGAGTGCTGTACACACACTGTAACTCCCCGTTGGTGGAAAAGTGGGGTAAACCATCCAGATGAGTTTTAAACATGGAACACTACTTGGATAGAAAAGCCACAATATAATTATTGAGACAATAATATGTATGAAAATGACGTTTGAGCAATGGAACTAGGAACAAATGAATCTTGAGACTCAAGCAGTGTTCTCAAAACAGTCTCAGACTTGGCTGTTAGAGGTGTTCAGACACATCAAACCAGAAGGTAAAGTTTGGCAGGGACAGTCATTTTAAAAGTAGAAAAATGGAATCAAACATTTGCACTAGTAATAAGCTAAATGATACATAGACATTTTGTATTTATAAACTTGAAATCTGTCAAAAGTGCCAGAAGAAAAATACAATTTATCTCCTAGGTGGGTTGGTTAATGTATGATTCTGTCATGAAGATGAAAAATATTATACCATTAAAATATATCTATTGCTGTTATTATATTTAATAAAACCTATTTTGTCTTGAATGCATTGCAAAAATAGTAAAAAACGAAGTCCAAAGAATGGAAAGGGAAACAAATTTTAGCACTGTAACAGCATAAAGGTCAAGAACCACGTTCAAAGAAGTACTAGATGTATGAATAGTAGCTAGATGCTAATTATGTGAAATGTGTAGATAAAACCTTTTTCTCAGAAGGTCTTTAAACAGTTGATTGTTGTAAAATACGAGTGTAACAGTGAAAAGAACATTCTATGTTTATCTTTTTTTCCTCCCCCGTAAGCATTCACTACTGACTACTTTCAAAAATAATTTAATGGTTTCTGTGGATTTTTAGTTTGACTAAATATGTTGATAGACACCAGTGCTGCAGAGGTTAGCTGAAGGGTTGAATTACTGAGATGAATTTTATTTAAATAATCTTTTAGGATGTGCTGTTTCTGTAGATTACCAAACTGGGTTGCTACAATGAACAAAGCTGTCATTGACCTCTGGTGACAACCACTGTGAAAGGATTTTGGTCATATATATTTATCTAAGACAGATTAATATAATTCAGGCTAGTGTTGATGAAGGGCAATGTTTGCCACATACAGAATTGAGATCTTTATTGTTCTCGCAGAGCTCATGCAGTTTTGCATTTATCTGTTGTCATTAGAAAGACTCTTTGTCCATAGGGCTGTCAGTATTGTATATTGGTAATTACTAGATATTTTATAATCTATGCACACATATTTTCAGTACCAAGAAAGCTGAAAGAAAATTGCCCAACTGTATATATTAGTGCCAGTGGGACAAAGTGTGTATAAAATCTGATATTAGCATTATTTGCAGAACAAAATTTAGGGTTTGTCCTTTTGATCAATTATATTCTTTTATACAGAACATCTGTTTTCAGCACATTCTTACATCACACCAATAGGTGCTGTTAGTCATCAGATATTTGTATGTGTTTAAAATGTATTTGAAGCCACTGTACATGCTACATCTGTTTCTTGATTGGATAATTGTCGGGCTCTGAGTATTAAATATGAATTTCGACATAATGAAATCTACTGTATTTTTCATTCTTTTCTCCCCAGTGTCATCATTACTACAGTCTTGTACCTTTCGGATGCCCTTCGTAAAAACTTCTTAAATGAAAACTTTGATTACAAGGTAGAGTAAACATGTCTAACATACAATAGGTGCAGTAGTCATACATCACCCTGTGGCTTGCTTGTTTGTTATTAAACTTAGCTCCAGCATCTAAACAGCTAATACATATAATAAATCAGCTATTTCAAGTGTTCAGAGATTAAGTTTTTTCTTAAATACAGGACTATCTTAATGCTGTGCATTTTTTAAATTTAAATTTTATTTTTCATATTACTATTTGCCTCTATGTTAGACTACTTATTCGAGATTTTTGCATAGCAATTTCTTGGATGATGGAAACTAATTGTATTGTTTGTCTGTTATTTTGGGGTTATTGCAGAAAGGAAAATTATTCCAGTTTGTAATTTATGCAAATTTATCAAAAATGTGGGTTTGCATTTCTGTAATTTCTCTCAAGGCCAATTAACATGCTGCATAATTAAAATTAGAAAATTATGACACTGCGTGGCGAATTTAGTTAAAGATGTCAGTGAGTACCTCATATGGTGAGATATAGCACCTATGATAAACCATGAATTACAGAATGATGCTTTTAGGATTCAGATGAGAAGACCTAGGAGTGTGTCTGAAAAGACCCATTCCCATGGAAACCTGAATGAATATTCTGCCCAACCAAGAGACATTAGTCCAATTGCTTCATCTTAAGAAGTGCAGAATTTCCTACCTAGAGAAGACCATGAGGTCCTGTTGACTTCCAGCAGAGTTGTGGGTGCTTCTCTGAAAATACAGATTCCTGTTGGAGAAGCTGGCAAGAATGCAGATTTATCTACTTGACATAACAGGACGTGAGGAAGCTTATCCTTTATGAAGTTCCACGAGTTCAGAGGCTAAAGCTGATAAAAGAATTGCCTGTAGACTAGGCATCTATGTTCCCTAAACTTGCTTAGCAATGTTACTGCTATTCATGGAGGGCCACAAAGATGATCTGAGGGTTTGAGCACCTCTCCTATGAAGACACGCTGAGCGAGTTGGGGTTGCTCAGCCTGGAGAAGAGAAGACTCTAGGGAGACCTTATAGCAGCTTTCCAGGAGAGGGACATTTTACAAGGTCATGTATTGATAGGGCGAGGGGTAATGGCTTCAAACTGGAAGGAGGTAGATTTAGATTAGGTATTAGGAAGACATTTTTCACTCTGAGGGTGGCGAGGCACTGAAACAAATTGCCCAGGGAAGTTGTGGAGGCCCCATCCCTGGAAGTGCTCAGGGCCAGGCTGGATGGGGCTTTGAGCAACCTGGTCTAGTGGTGTCCTTGCCCATGGGATGCAACTCTGAAAATTTTACATTTAAGAGATATAGAATATGTAAAATAGATGTATTTCTGCTGAACGTTTTGGGGTTGGTGAAAAGTATATTTGGATGCAAAGAAATTTAGTCAAAAACAGTTTCAGTAATTTATTAGTTGAGACTGAAACAAGGGATGTGATTTGAAAATTTGCATCTTGAGTGGTCATAAAATGGTGGTATTGAGAAAATGAAATAACCCAATGCCATATGCTTATTGTAGATATGGGATTCCTACTTTTTTCTTGCTGTCATTTTTATAAATCAGTTATGTCTGCAACTGGAGATGTTCACACCTTCCAAGAAGAAAAAGGTTTTAGAAAAGTAAGTACTGCTGTCAGCTTCTAGAAAACTGTAATAGATCAAACACTTCTCAAAATGCAAGGCATGGGAGGTTGCAAAAAGGCCTACCAAAAAGTTAATGGTAACAGTGTTTCCACTAACTACAGTAAGAGTTTGTATAGGTCTTCAGAGCTGATAGCAGCCTACGAAGAAGTGTCCAAATTGGTTCAGATACTGGGGGCAAAATAGCCATGTTGTAGCAGTGCCAACTCTAATTTCCAGTTTATGCTAAGTTGATTCACACTGGTTCAGGTGTTTCTGCCAGGCACTGCACTGTTGTCTGTATGAATTAATTGTATTTCTTTAAGCTAGAGCAAAACTATTGGTTCTCATATACTGCAAGAAATAGCTTTTGCTTCACAGCTGTGTTACTGATGTACAGTATTTAATAAAAAATGGTACTTTTGACAATATTGCAAATAAACCTGGGTTTAGGAATCCAGTTTTAGCTGGGTACAATGGAAGGAGCAAAAAACTTGGAAGAAATCATTACTTTTAAAGTAGTTTCTTATGGACTACACGTGAGAGTTCATTTAACAATGTCACAGAATGGCATATAAACTTGATTTTCTTAAATGATCTTTCACTGTTTTACTTTATTTTTTAATACATTGCAGATATGGTGACATGCGGGTAACAATGGGATGTGAAATCTTCAGTATGTGGCAAAATTTAGGTAAGTAGTTAAACACATCATCAGTAGCTCATAAAATTAAAGACAATTATTATTTCTTCACCTATTAAATACACTTGCCATTCATAGAGGAGCTGTTGATAATTGAGTTCACATGAAGCCTTGATTCAAGCTTAGGAAAACCCTAGTCATCTGTAGTTCCCTTCTTTGTTGCTAAATTCAGCTTTCTAAGCCTTGATGCTGTATCTGACCTATCCCTATTTCTTCAAGGAGAACTGAAAGAATACCATCAAAGAAAGTGACAAAAGAAAGTACTGCTCTTTTTAGGCAGAATTATTATGCCTGGAAATATACTTATGTTCACAATTTTAGTTCTGTTGCCAAACAGTTTAAGGAACAGACATATATCTTAATTCTAAAGCTCTCTTGGGATGGTGGATTTGCATCAAATCTTCCCCTAAGTCCTAGTTGTACTAAAATATAAAGGCATAAACAAATCAGTGACTGATGTATAAATGACACATTGGACAACACAAGAAAAATATATGCCTGGATATAAACTTAGGAACATTTTTTATATTTATAAGCAACAACTATGCAAACTGTTTGAAAGTATGAGCCTCGGGTAAATGTAATTAGATGTTTGGGAAGAAAATCAAAACTAAGTAGAAGATTTGGACACTACGTTTGTCATCTTTATATTTCAATTACTCGATAGTTCACGTCATTAAAGGGCTGATTAAGGAAATGAAGACTATTGGTGGTTACTGAGATACTGTCATCTCAATTCTATAAAGCTTTTCCCCAGCAAGATATGTAGTTGTAAAAAAATGGTCTTTCTGATCATCCTGTATGAGAGAGAAATGTACAAAATAAGAAATATTTGCTTATTAATATCTTGTTAACATTTGTGGTGTAGCATATCTTACTTATTTACAGTATTTAGTATTGCATACTCACTCTAAGGCATCCCTCTAAATTATTTGGATAAGTGATGCATATTTCTAAACTGGTTTATCAAGGATTCACTCCTGGGTCCCATCTCCCTCCTGCATGCTGGGATAAGACCTTAGTGTGCATCATCTCCCCACTGATACTGTTTTCTGCTGAACAGAAACCCCTGTATGCAGACAAGGAGGGAATCATAATGCCTATCAATAGGGGCAAGTTCTGTGGGGTACAATACAGAGTTCATCTGGTAATGTGTCCAGTTAAATACTGTAGTCAGGATATTTCATGTAACTGGTGGTGTGCTAGTCAGCATTTTACAGTTCTCTTAGTAGTAAGAGTCATCATAAGCCTTGATCCTTGTACAGTCCCCTTGCTTTCATATGGATATGCATCCTAGGATGTTTCCAGCAGAGGGAATTCTGGATTTCCTTTGCGCAAACACAAACACCAAACCGAGCAGCAGGCAGGGGTTACTGCCCACTGGAGCATTCAGAGGTAGGCTGGGATGGAAATGAATTCCCAGCTTGGAAAGTCAGTGCATTGTGATTCATAATCCCCCTGTTCTGAAGATATCAGAAGTCTTATGCCTGGAGAACTGAAACCAAATGGTCAATCTTTACTGTATTTCTAGCTTTCCTGACAAGAACTTAGTTTTGTAGTTTCTGCTAAGTAGAATATGGTGAGTTAATGGAAGATGTTTTAGTGCTGATTTTAAAGAGTTGTTTTGAGAACAGCTGAGTCACATCTTCCCTTTCCTGCAGTCAAAACATGTACTTCCATTTCTGTACTTACAAAACTAAAGATAGGTAAAAATCAAAGTACTCACCTTTTTTTGATGAGCATGTAATATCAGATGGTTAACCATTTTGTAAACACAACAGTGTAGAACTTAGAAACCAAATCATTCCTGCGAAAAAGAAAGCAAATGCTCAGAGAGAGCTTTGTCTCTCTTTTTTCTCCTTCTGGAAGACTAACTTGGGATACAGATAACCTACTGTCACTTCTGACCTCAGTGTTGCATAAAAAAATCTGATAAATTATGTTGGCCTTATATTCTTCTGTTCCTACAGCTTTTCTCTGCACTTTTGGGGCTTAAGAAATAGCCCATGCTGTGCTGGACATGAGATACAAAAAATCTATAGACATTTAGAGTGCTATTTTTTAATACTTCCGATTGTATTTGGATTGCTTGATAGCTCAAAGGACACCCAATTCACATTCAAGTTCATGTTCATTTTCATTTTAGGGGAACACAAGCTTCACTTTATTCCAGCATTGATTGGCCCCTTCCTGGAAGTCACCTTGATCCCTCAGCCAGACCTGAGGAATGTAATGATTCCCATTTTCCATGACATGATGGACTGGGAGCAAAGGCGAAGTGGCAACTTTAAACAGGTACTGTATGTGAAGCTGTTTATAAAACTGGACTGAAATTCAAGCACTTCAGAGAGGGGTGGTCCGAACCATCAGTGGTTCAGGGTGGAGGAAGTAGCCACAACGTTCTGCTCGTTGGAGAGGAATTACCAGGGTTTTCCCTTTTTAGTCTCTGCAGGGATAGTACAATTCTCCGATTTAGGTGATCATGTTAGTAATGTAAAATGAGGGATAAAATCCAAGGCCTGCTGAAGAGAAGAACAAAACTTGAGCTGTCTTCAACAAGGCGGATTTTGTTGTGGTGGTTTTGCAGCTCTGCTTTACAGCAGTACAGACTACTGGTTAGATAGGATTCCACCAGCTTCCCTTCTGGTTAGTATGAAAAAAGATCAGATGGTCCTTCTGAAGAATGTTCTTCTGTAAGAATCCAAGTATTCTTGCTGCTCAAACACCTTCTTAACAGGCTAGGAAGGAACGACTAAGTGTGCCATCTGCTCCCACAGCTCCCACTCAGTTCTTTCAGAAAGCTTCAAACCATTTCTCAGTGCCCTCCTTCCTGCTGCTTCAAATGAAGGAAAGCAGAAGTATTTGAATTACTCCCAGGCATATCATAATCATAATGCTTACGGTGGGAGCTGTATCTGAAACACAAAACAAACTATTAAGAACAGAAGAGCACATGTGATGTAAGTAGGTAGCTTTTCGCTATCGATGTATATAAGCTTATTGTTAAAAATCACCATAGAAATGTTAACAAGGAGTGAGAAGGAAAAAATCCACTTGTTCTGCTTCTCTGTGTTTTCAGCTTGGGTTCAAATGTAAATTGTAATAGATTTATTCTCTAATAAAATATCTTGATGACGGCCTGGTTTCTCCCCTAGATTTGTGGTTGCTAATACACCGAAATATTAATGCACAGTGTAGCCTCACCTCTCTATTTTTTATAATCAATACATTTAAAAATATGCATTGAAGGACTCATTAGCCACCAGATATGTTCTGTAAGTTTCTTTGATAGCTAATACCTAAATCCAGCAAATTGGATTTCTAACCAAATACACTGTCAGGTAAGGAAGGTTGGGAAGGTAAGTCTGAGCCCCCAAGTGTTTTGAACAGTATAGACATTTATAAAAAATAATTTATAAAGAATGGGGTGCAAGTCAGAAAAGATGATGTTTTTATTGAAGTGTAAGAAAATGGCTTGTGCTTACAGCCCTGCAGTGAGAATTCAGGCAATTTATTTGGGCTGTGTGCTTTTTGTCTGACTCCATAAATAGATAGCTGCCTTAGCAGCAGCAAATGCTACTCAGCCTGTAGTTTTAAAGTCACGTTGCTCAATTTAAATTAGCTCCCTCCCTCAAAAAAAAAAAAAAAACCACACCACCAAAAAAAGAAAACCCCACAAACCTTGGGAATGATAACAGCTTCAAAGAGATGAAGTGACTTATCATCAGATTTACATGATTGACCAATAATTCTAAGATATGCATTTAGCAAAGTCCCTTGCATAAAAACAAACCTTCCCTCAATTTTCCCTAATCTCATTAAAGGAAAAAGAAGCTGTTTACATCACACTTATATGTTGCAGGTGGAAGCAAAACTGATTGACAAACTGGACAGCCTAATGTCGGAAGGTAAAGGTGACGAAACATACCGAGAGCTCTTCAACAGTATGTGAGTAATATGTTTATCTTACGCTAATTCCTTGAGTTCGGGTGGTTGTATCAGATGCTAATGTCATTGTAGAGAAGTAATGCTTAAAACAGTTGTAAATCCCCTTTTTTTCTTCCCTTTTTTCTTCCCCTTTTTTTTTTTTCTTCCTGAAAATCTGAGGAATAAAACATTTTATGGTGTTGTATGGCATCTGTAAAGTCTGGCTGTACTTCTTGCATACAGCTATAATTGGGAAAGGCTAAATCTGTTATATCACAGAACATTCTCTTTCTCTACCTACCAATTTTAAAATCAGAAAAGCAAGAAATGCTTCGTAATTGCGTAGGGTGCAGGTAGAGCTCAAATGGAGCATTTTGAAAACAAGGCATAAGAATTCAACAAAAAGCTGTTTAATAAGTAATTTGTTACTGCCAGAAACTTGTACTCATCTGTGTAATGTCACTTGTTGATTTCTTGATTGATTTAAACAATGTTATTTATTCTGATAAGTTTATTTCTAATTATTTTCTTTTATAAATTACTTGTTAAGCTTTTAGTATATTTTAATAAATGACATATCACTGAAATCTAATAGGAAAAGCTAATAATAATGCTGCAGACCCTAAGGTTGCCCATAAATTATCCCATTGACTGAAATAAATGATTGTCACGGACTACAGGTACAAAATAACTAACTGAACTCTGCCTCTGTTGTTCCTCGGAACTCAGTTCCACCTAAGTGGAAGATTTCACTTATTTCTGGTGTGCTTAATAGGAGATGTATTTTTCCTCTTCAGGATTCCAAGCCGTGTATTCTTCAGCAGTATTAAACACATGATCTTTTCCTGTTTATATGGCTTCTTAACCATTTCTTCTTCTTCAAGTATTAGTTCTAGCTCTGTTGTTTTTCCTTAAATAACAACATTCAGATCTCGCTATCTGAATAGCAAACACATAATAATCTGTGATTGTATTGAGTTGAAAAAAACAGTTTCTAAGTATTTATCATTTACAGAACAACAGTGGGCAGAGACATTAGGCAGAATATTATAGAAATTGATGAATAATTGTAAAAAACAGTACAGTATGCTAAAGCAGAACTTTCTTGTAATTATTCATGAAATTTTTCATAATCTGAATAAAGATAATAAAAGGTAAGATTATTTCAGTATTTTAGTAACACAGTAGTCTAACTTCAAAAGTAAGTCATTAAGGGAAAAGCTCTAATTATAAAATGAAGTCTAAATGCTTTCTCATGTGCAAAGTACATCAGGATTTCTGTCACTGAAATAACTTCAAATTCTATAAGGAAGCATATTGGTATGAAATACAGTTCCTAATTTTTTTTACAGTTTTGAGTTAGATTTAAACTGGGGGATGTTAAAGAAGATACAGTGAAAAATGGTGAGAGCCTTTTATAAATCTAAATGCTGGAGACATAGTCATAGTCATTTAAATTGCAAAATGTCTCACAGCATCAGTATACTTGTTGTTTCTGTTCTGGTATAACAGAAGTTAAAGCTAAACTCTGGGAAATTTCAGAGTAACTGCTCGAGTTCACTTCCAGCTTAAGAAAAAAATAGCATTTATCATTAGTTTTTTATCTGAGTTTGATTTGACTCCATACATTAACACCTCTAAAGAGGTGGGCTTGCAGAAGATACTAATCTAAAATGGAGGATGAGATAGTGTTCTAGGGTATGTGAAGGAAAATGATAAAATTCATATGGACAGTTTAGGGAGCTGAATGCAAGAGAAGGGGTCAGTTAGCCTGAAATTTCTTTTTTATTATTTCTTCCATGGCTAATTTAAATTAAGTAATATTAGAGTGTCTTTAGACAGTGCAAGAAAGCAGACTTCTTTAGGCTGAAGTGACAGAGATATGGTATGTACCCAAGGAGTGTGAAACGAGATATAGTTTTGCAGCAAGCAGTGGTTTTGTAGTCTCTAATGAAAGCAAATGCTGCAATACTACCTGATCTTTCTGAAGATTCAGCATGGTTGGTTTTGATAGGTGCAGTTGGGAGCCATGGGGATGCACACACCTACTTTGGGTACAGTCTAGTAACTGCAGTGGGTGTGACACTTTAAGGTTTTGTCATGGTCTTGTTTATTTTGTCTGAATCGGAAAATGAATTTAAATCTCTCAACTCCCACGTTAACTGCTTTTTTTTTCTCCAGACAGTGACTGCAACTTTTCTTTGAACATCTTCTATTTTCAAGGACAAATTATAAGCATCTCTGGACATATCCAAAATATTATGTGCTTAGCATTCACTGCTTATCATGGAATTATCTTTGTCAAATGAAAAGATATAGTGAAAGTAGGGGGAAGATGACTGCTATTTTGAATCGATGTCTTTCTAGGGACTTGAGTGTGACCACTCAGTGATTAGGCATTTGAAGAGCTGCAAAGCACAAAGTAGCGAACATTTTGCTATCATGAGAAACTAGATGTTGTAATTGCCACCCAGTGTAATCGCGGTATGAAAGGTGTCCTGATTTACATTTACACTGTAACACTGCAATTTAATTCCTGAGTTAATTAGCACAGGGAAAAGAATGATTTCACTTTATTAAACAGTTGGTGGTTAGAACAAAACCCTTGGAAGCCAAGGGACATACTCAAGTAGCTCTTTTGTTCTGAACCCAATGGATGCTGTCTGTTCATTACTGCTGTAGCTGTATTCCAGTTTGGCCTAACACAAGCCATTTCGGGTTTGGAGGTTAGATGGCCACATTATCGAAGCACAAACCCTGGGCTAGCGAGCTCCACTGTGGGTCTGATGACAAGGCTTCTCTTTGAAGAAATTAGAGCTGACATTCAAGCTGAGCAGGCATTTAATATTGAGCCACGCCACTTTGTGGATGATTTCTCTCGCTGCGAAGCTATTATATAAAAGGTGATGACTGCTACCACTCCCGTGCTGCCTTCAGGCTCCTTAATTTCTTCACCCAATCGCATGTGTGAATTCAGCACTGCCCAGTCTGTTAGACTCTGTCTGGATTGAGTCTTTCAGAGCCTTCCTGAATGTTTTTGTGGGGTTTGGGTAGCTCCTCACTGATCTCCGAACTTTTGCAGCAAAGTCTGACATTGAGCCATCAGGCTAGATAAGGGAACCTATAGTAAAGTACCTGGAGGACTTTGTACTCTAAAATAGACATGCAGATGTTTTAAGGCACCTCTATGGCTAGATGCCTGTGAGTTAGTGGTCTGAATAACTCTGTGGCTTAGGCATATAAAATCCACTTGCTACGTGATTGAGCTAGCCTGAATGTGGTTCTAAGCCTGGTGTTCATCCCTGGAGAGCTCTGAGCCTCTGGGCCCCCACACCACTCCTCCACTCTTTTACTCTTGGGAACACAAGATCAAAAAAACCCCAAACACACACAAACCAACAAACAAAAAAAAAAGACCCCAAACCACAATTGTTTAGGTAAGCCCAGATATAGCGTGGATAGGCAGAAGTGTTTTCATTGTTTCTGTGTTGTTTATTCCCCTTAGTGCTTTGTAGAACATAGCATCTTGGCTATGCTTTGGGACCTGTAAGCAACAGGAATTTAATTCTATCTAGATGTAGCCACGAGGAAGCCAAGGGGTATATTTGAGTAGCTCTTTCATTCTCAGCATTTGTTCTGTGCATTGTGGTGAAAGATGTATGGTGGTGAGGGGGAGGCATGCATCAAAAGGCAAGTCATAAAATTGTTCAACTGACGACATTGATGTCAGTTTGAATAAGTACTTTGACTGTATCTACACAATCCACTCGTAGAAATTGTATATTTATAATGAATATGCCAATACATTTATAAAGAACATGAATAAGTCAAATACAGATGAAAACCGTCTGTTTTAAAAGAGAAGTCAGACTTCTGCTGTTTTTCTACAGGAACTGTAGGTAATTATTTTGATGAATTTATGTTGAAATGTTCCTGTTTAATACAGAGTTGAAAGGCAATAGAATGGAAAAATCAGTGCTGTAATCAGGGCCTAATAATGTAACAGGCTCTACTCTTATTTCTTGTTAGGCACAAAAACTTGTATTGAAAGGAATATAAGGGGTTTAAAAGCGAATTAAGTTAGCCTGTGTATTCTGTATGGAAAGCAGAGATGCCGGATTAGTGCTTCAGCCTTTTCTGGTTGAGGATGGCCTTATCATCTCTCTCTGCTAACAATGACAGGTAGCCAGTCTCTGAATGTGAGGGAAAGACATCTGGTTGCCTCCTAAAGAGAAGTGAGACTAAGATCGATATAAGGGTGCAGAATGAAGATGAATGTTTCCTCCTTGCTTCCAGCAGAGCACAGCTTCATTTAGGTCGAATTAGTTTGGAGAATTGCATCTGTGACATCCCGCTGTATGTAAGGAGCTGAACAGAGCTGGAGTGTGTAGCTAGTGCAGTTGGCATGTAGGAGTTATTGGGCGCTGTTATGTGTTTGGTGAAATTTGGATGTAGGAGTTTTATGGCACTGAACATGCTCAGTATAGATGAAGGTCAGTGGAGCTGACAGCTTGCCCACCGCAGACAGAAGGTTCGGAGATGCTATTAACAACTCTCTAAAAAGCTCTGAGTATATGGATTTGGCAATTTTCAGAGACTTTTAAGTAAACCATACCTGAGTGCTTTTTCAGGCAGACTGCTAAAATTTTTCCATGGACGTGTCATCCATCTGAGGTCCTGCACCAAAGCATGAAAGTAACACAACTCTGTAGATAAATATTTCCTTGTTCATTCTCAGAGAGGAAATGGTGGAAATTTATGCCCAAATGATTAATAATCGATAACCTTAAGCAATGAAAATGTGAGGCCTATAACAGGAAGAAGTATTAAGTATAATTTTACTGACAGCTCCACTTGCAACGCCATTTTGTAATCTTTGCACTTCAACGTGTATTTACATTAGCGTAAGAACTCAACGCAATGGTTTTTAATAAAGAATCTTATAATTTAAGCTAATGGAATTTTACATGTGCATGATAGTATGTTCTCAGAGGGAAATATTAAGTGAATCATCTCATTCAAATCCCTTCCCCATTCTTAAATTTCATGCATACTGAAATATTGGAGAGGAGGAAAAATCTTTGTTAAAAAAATTGAGGTCTAATTGAGAAAGTATTGAGTTGATAAATATTCTTTTCTAGGTACATCTTAAAACTCCCCGTTTTGTGACATATCAGCATGAAATTAATATATAAATTTTATGTGAGAGTTCTGTTAAGTCTTTTGGATATTAATATATTCTGAAAATTAGGTATTTGATATATTTTTAACCTGATGCAGCTAATGTAAAAATCGTTTGTTTTGTCAATGCTTCCTGGACTAGAATTCCACTTTTTGGTCCTTATCCTAGGTAAGACATTGTTTGCAAATTGTGCTTCTTGGGAGGGTGTTTGTTAAAGAAAACCTAACTATCAAAGATGTTGCTAAGGTATTAAGGTACTGGTAAAAGCAGAATGGTTGTCATAGTGACAGTTAAAAATAAATGGTGAAATTGTTCTGGCTTTTTTTTTTCAGTCTACTGAAGAAAATTGAGCGGGAAACATGGAGGGAAAGTGGTGTTTCATTAATCGCCACTGTGACTCGCCTCATGGAGAGGTTACTGGACTACAGGTGAGTGACTATGACAAGTGATAAGTAGGGTTGTCATCTTCAAAATATTAGGAGACAAATATGGTGATCTTGTGCAAATGGTGACTGCACATGGATACATCAATTGTACATGTTCAGGATCTCCGACAGCAGCTGCTTAGCCTACAGGAAAATGAGACAAGCTGGCTGAAAACCAACCAAGCAGCCTCCCCATGGTATGAAAAACCACTGGCTTGCAGAAGTTTCCTATCAAGAAATATAGGAACTTTTGGTAGTAGGTTAGTGACTCAAGTCTGTCTGAAGACACAGAGCTCAATACTAATCACCTGACAGTTGTTTTACAGAATATGTAAAATTCTTATCACTGTGTCAATCATGCTTAGTTGTAGTGTCAGCTAGCACAGTAAGTATGTATACAAAGATATGATCTCTGGGTGAGAAGCTCGCATCTGACTGTACCACATGAACAAAGGAGAAGGCAATAAGAGACATATACTCCCTTTTAGGACTGGGAGACTAAAAGGGATTTTCTCAGTCATTTGTGAAGTCCGTGTAGAAGCTTCAGATTTCGGCTTAGTCCTCATTATTGCCACCAGTTGTAGCACTTTGTAGACCTTCAGTGTTATTTTTTTTCCCCAGTTCCATGGGGGACACATCATAAGACCTGGTACTTCACTTGGTATCCTCACTGATAGTTTGAAAAGAAAGCTATTTTGTCAACAAAGAGACTGAACTCTTAATTTCTAGAAGCCTGACAGTGCTATTCCTCTTCTGGGTTTGGTTGGATTACAACCTCCACGGCTCTCAATGCAACATCTTTCAAAACAATTGTGCATGCTCGTGGTCATGAGAGCATTTGGGATAATTGTTTAGCTCATGTATGTAAGAATGTTTTAAAATTAGGTTAAATTTCTTTTAGTGACTGCATGGTGATGTCTGCCTGTTATTTTTTTACTCCAGTGTGGTTATACTGACACTATTTTTCCCTTTGTGACAACAAAACTCAGTGTGGTTTCATTTTAACTTGTGACTTGGGGTTCAGATCTGTTGCCTCCCCAAACAATAAATTATACTAATTATAAAGTGGTACTGAGGAAAATTTGGTGGTCTTGGAGCATTTTACAAAGGAGGTCAGTGTCATTCTGTTTTTTCACATAGGAGAAACTAATGCTGTAAATCCATGACCAATTTAGATGTACAGTCTCTGACAAAAGCAAATTCATCCCTGCTCATTCCTTCATTCACATCACCCTCTTCCTTGTGCCAACACAAGTTTTTTGTGCAGCACTTTGGTGATCTGACTGACGTAGGCTAATACTAACCCAGCAAAAGATAGTCTTGATCTGTGTCTCTTCCTGAGTTTTGTGTAGGCAGCAGTGCAGGACTGGGAATGAGTGCCTGAGAGCAGGAGAGGAGCAGGACTGCCTCTTCTGGCAGCCACGCTGGCTTCTGCTGGCATGATTTGAGCACAAGGTGTGAAGAAACCAAATGATGTCCAGCAGCCACCCAGCAAATCAGTGACAGAACTAGAAAAAACACTGACTTTATTGATGATTGAGGTATTCCATGTCCTGGAAAAGGAGACATGAAGTCCTTTACACACCTGGGTCAGCTGTTCACCCAAATGTCTTTGGGTTGCACCATTTCAGTCAGCTTGCTGAGCCAAATATGTCTGCTTTTCTGAGGTGTGCTTCGCTATAAGAGGATAAACGACATTCCTTTTGACTTTCATTACTTTCTGTTTTAGGGACTGCATGAAAATGGGAGAAGTGGATGGCAAAAAGATTGGCTGCACTGTTAGCCTTTTGGTTTGTATAATACCTTTTCTTTCCCTTTTTGATTTCAGTTGAGCGTTTTCTAATATACAGCCACGCATTTGAATAGGAGGTACCTTGGTTCTCAATGCAGTTTGAGTGAAAATTGACAGAATAATACTGCACTTAGGATCACTGATTATGTTTTTAATGGTGGAACTGATACAGTAGGGAGTTAGTCTTCCTTGGCATTTTATAGTCGGGCTCTGAGATCTCTCTAATACTGCTTTATTCAGATTTCAGTCTCTTCCTGCTGGATAAATTTCACCTAAGTATTTCTCAAATTTAATTGGTCTCTGAGTTCATAGAAACAAACAAGCCTTTCATCCTTCCCCAAACCCAACAAAACTAAGATGATTTCTCCTGTTCTTATGACCTGATTCTTATGAACTATAATATGGCATATCTTCTGAAGACTGCAGGCTATCTATTCTCTTCCCAACAGAAGAGCCAGAAATGCTGCTCAAGACCTCCTCTTGTCATGTTATCATAATTACGACAAAACAGCAACGCAAAATCGTAGTGTGAAAAAGATTTCATTTTTGTTTACAAGATGCATTTTGGTTCTAGGCCAGTTTCCACTGACAAGTTTGTTGACTTCCGTTAACCTTGGAAAGTTTCCATTTTCATGGTGAATGTTTTGGAAAGCTGTATTTTTAGCCAGGGAAAAAAAAAAAAAAAAAAAAACAACAGAATAAGCTGACTTGTAATTCTGCATTTTTTACGTCAGTGAAACAATTTGGTATCACTTCTAAGTAGCAGTTACACATAAGAGAATAAAGGATTCCTTCAGTAGGAAAATAGCGCTCTGTAAATAGAGCTGATGTTTACTATGTAAACCATAGAGCAGCTGGCTTTCTGTCAGAATATCTGGCATGGTCTGAATTTTTACATTGTTTTGCCATAGAGTTATATGCTGTTCTTCAAGAAAATAGAATTGTCCAAGTTAACCAAGTTATCAAATTAACTGGAATTACGCCACATCATGAAAAATGCAGAAGGGGGTATGTACCAGCAGTAATAACTCAGATGAAAGGAGAAGGTAGGAACTTTTTTCCTGCTCTCCCCATCCTCTGGATCATCTGGAGTGGGTTTCACATTAGTAATGCTTGTTTGGAAAAGCTGATTTAACAGGTGTCTTACGGAGTTAGTTCCTTATGCGTAAGAATCACCTAACTCCAGTTTGAAAGTTGAATTTCTAATGAAAGAACTCTATCATCACAGAGTTGTACAAAAACATAGAAAGACCTGTCAGCCTCACCTCTGTGCCTGGGAAGATCATGGAACAGATCCTCCTAGAAGCTATGCTAAGGCACATGGAGGACAGGGAGGTGATTCAGGACAGCCAGCATGGCTTCCCCAAGGGCAAGTCCTGCCTGACCAGCCTCATGGCCTTTTATGATGGAGTGACTACATCAGTGGACAGGGGAAGAGCTACGGATGTCATCTATCTGGATTTCTGTAAGGCCTTTGACACAGTCCCCCCACAGCATCCTTCTCTCTAAATTGGAGAGGTATGGATTTGATGGGTGGACTGTTTGGTGGATGAGGAATGGTTGAATCCAGAGGGTAGTGGTCAACGGCTCAAAGCCCAGGTGGAGATCGGTGTCAAGGGTGTCCCTCAGGGGTCCATACTGGGACCAGTACTGTTGAATATCTTCATCAATGCCATAGACAGTGGGATCGAGTGTAACCTCAGCACATTTGTGGATGACATCAAGCTGAGTGGTGTGGTTGACATGCCTGAGGGATGAGATGCCATCCAGACGGACCTGGACAAGCTCAAGAAATGGGGCCTCTGTGAAACGCATGAGGTTCAATAAGGCCAAGTGCAAGGTCCTGCACCTGGGTCAGAGCGACCCTCCTGTATCAATACAGGCTTGGGGATGAAGGGATTGAGAGCAGCCCTGCGGAGAAGGACTTGGGGGGACTGGTGGATGAAAAGCTGGACTTGAGCCAACAATGTGTGCTCACAGCCCAAAAAGCCAACCATACCCTGGGCTGCATCAAAAGATGTGTGGCCTGCAGGTTGAGGGAGGTGATTCTGCCCCTCTACGCCGCTCTGGTAAGACCTGGTACTGCATCCAGCTCTGGAGCCCTCAGCACAGGAAAGACATAGACCTGTTGGAGCGGGTCCAGAGCAGGGCCACAAAAATGATTAGAGGGATGGAACTTCTCTGCAATAAGGAAAGGGCTGAGAGAGTTGGAGTTGTTCAGCCTGGGAGGAGAAGGCTCCAGGGAGACCCTATTGTGGCCTTTCAGTACTTAAAGGGAGCTTCTAAAAAAAGATGGGGATAAACTTTTTAGCAGGGCCTGTTGCAATAGGACAAGGAGTAATGGCTTTAAACTAGAAGAGGGTAGATTCAGACTAGATAGAAGGAAGAAATTTTTTACAATGAGGGTGGTGAAACGCTGGCACAGCTTGCCTAGAGAGGGGGTAGATGCCCCATCCCTGAAAACATTCAAGGTCAGGTTGGTTGGAACTCTGAGCAACCTGATCTAGTTGAAGATATCCCTGTTCATTGCAGGGGGCATTGGACTATTCTATCATTCTGTGAAAGTATATTGAACAACTTTTGGTAACTCACCAAGGAGTTTTTCTCAGGCATCTCTGGTCCTCATTGGGGTTTGCTAGAATCATAGAATGGTTAGAGTTGGAAGGGACCTTAAATCATCTAGTTCCAACCCCCCTGCTGTGGGCAGGGATACCTTCCACTAGATCAGGTTGCTCAAAGTGAAGCATATGTTCCTGATCTATACCTTGTAGGAGGAAAAGAGATGTCTTTGAATGATAAAGGCATATGGTGGCCTAAAGCGGGCATGTCATTACAGAGCTATTGATATCTAGTCATTTTCTCAAGTCCGTTAAAAAGATACTTTCTCTGTAAAGTTTTTATTTTGATATTTTCATAATGTTCCTCCCACCTTTCTCTTTGATAATAACACACTTCAGGAAACAGCGACACAGAATAAGAATACTGTAAAATAGGGGAAAAATTTTGGCCACTTGCTTAGAGTTCAAAATAGTAAGTGACTTGAATAATAGAACAGAAATTGTTAAGTGCTTATGAGGACCAGTGCTAGATCCTTCTGTCCTACAAATTTTTGTTAACCGAAGTAGGTTATCCTGAACTTTAAGTATGGCTAGCAGCAGGACTGTAGCTATGTGTCCATAGTATGGCAATACTTGTGAACAGTGCTATAGGGTTATGCTCCTCTCCCTATAACTTTTTCATACTTTGTTGGGGTTTGCAAGTACATAATGAATGTTTTGAACTAAGAGTTTTGATGTCGCATTCCATATTTTATCGATGTAACAACAAATAGCAGTTATACATCTTGAAATCTTTACCTCTTCTAGAAATTTTGTCCTGGATATCGCTTTAGAGTGCAACCTTGTATATTTCAATCAATCATACAACGCAATATTTATGCATCAGTTACCAGTTCATAGCATCAATTAAGGCTGAAGAAGACATGTTTTTCGTTCAGGATTATGCTGTTTACAATACTGAAGAGTTCTTTGTGAAACTACTGAAGTCCTTTTGGCATTTTGCTATGAAAGAAGGAAGAGTAGGTTTACCAGGCGTTAGATTTGTTAAAATAGTAATATGAAAGTCAGAGTCCTGTCAATGTTTTAAAATCAACATACAGCGTTCAGC